TTTCGAAAGCCAGATTTCCTGTGGCTGCGGTTTGGGGTTTATCCGTTGGACCCCTTTCTGGGAGAACAGGACTGATCCAATATGGGTTGCTGCACTGTTGCTTGTGCCAATCTGGGAAGCTTGAACCCAGATTCATCAACCTGGCCCATTTGAGAGACGCTTCTCCCACCAGTACTCAATCTGGGTCCCTGGGTTGGACGTTCGAGTGAATCAGCGACCCCCAACTTTATGACTGAAAAAGGGGGGTTGGTCCCTTTGGTATCACAGAAGCTAGTCCCACCAGGTGTTCCACAATGAGTGATGCTTAGTTGTCCTCTGAACAAACGAGACCTCTATCCCTGGAGATTCCCATGCGGCGGCTGCAGCCCGCAGCGTCAAATCCGAGCCCGTCAAATCCGAGCTTCTGCCGAAGGAAGTGGAGGAACCGCTGCGCCACGATGTCCTGCCCAGGATTCCACTTTCAGCCCCGAAAGAAGAATGGGCACCCCATATTCATCAACTCCAGTTTATCAGGGGGGTGGTGTTGGCCCCTCCATATCATAACAAGCAATGCCAGGCTTTGGCCTATGGTTTACAAATGTTTGCGAGGTCTTTTGGACCGGTTGCTTGTTGCAACAAAAAGTGCAACCCTTTCGGAGATACTACAATTGACCAAAGGGGAAGTGTGTTAGGTGGGGTTGTGTGGTCACGTGGACAGGCCCCATCCTGCATATTGCGCGTCTCATAAACTCGGTTGAATCTCTTGGTGCGCTTTGTCGCTGTTTTGAGCAGGTGCTTGGAGTTCGGCTTTCAAGTGCAACCAACATGAAAGCATCCATGCGCAGATTCGCCCAGTTGATGTGGCACAACATGACCCGGTGACCCAAACGTCTTAGACAAATTGGAGCACGGGGCTAAAATCTCTGCTCAGTGATTGTAGCTCTGACTGTTGCCGCCGAAAAGAAGAAGACAACATCTCCTTCGAGTGTTTTCCCCCCACCCCACTTTTTCTTTGGTGGGGGTGAGTATGTGGCTTCCATGTTGGCCACTCAGAAATCAAAACGCCTGCTAGTTTGATCCTTTTGGCTTGCAAAGTCGTCGCCGGGACGTTCTTCTTTTCCGCAAAAAAAAAGGTGGAGGATATGGAACCCCATTGTCTAGAAACCAATTCCATTCAGGCAGAAAGGCTCACCTCAGCTTCTCTGCGGCCCACTCACTTAATGTTGACCCCATAAATCAACCCTTTTTTAATAGGCTGTCCGATTCTGGGTGAAATGTGGCGATTCAATCCCCTTTTGGGCATATTCTGTCTGAGGCTTCTTAAGCCTCTTCTTCTTTGGGGGGGGGTCTTTGGAACGGCCAGAGCTGTGGAGTCGAGCCCCAAATCTGAGTGCAAGCTTCGATGTTGCAGGCCATTTGGGAAGCTTTGAAGCCTTGGCTTTGGACATGTCGGGCTTAAGACGCAGATCTCCCATGTGAAAAATCACATCAACTGATCATATCATACATATATATATATATATATATCCATCATCTGTCCCACAACGTCACATGAAGCAAAAACCTTGGTATAGGAGTGGATCTTAGCATGTGTGCATATATATATATATATGTGTTTCTCAACATGGAAGGAATGCCAAGCAAGGCGGAGTCTGGCGTTCTTTTGCCAAAAGGGAAGCCAACAAATCTTCCCCAAAATTTGTCCAACCCGAGCCGATCCAACAGCCCCTCCTTGTTGGCTGGCAGCACTCGGCCCCGGCGGCTCGCCTCCGTCGCTAGGGTTATGCGTGGAGGGGAGGGCCTGGGAATGAGACCTTTGAACCATCCCCTGCTGGCTGTTTCCCTTTCTTTTTAAGGAATGGGTTATGTAACATATGTGTAAAGCATCATCATTGATAAAGCTGGCTGTCCCTTTTTAAGAGGCATGGGTTTTGTGGCATCCATATGTGTAAAAAGGAAAACCATTATCTTTGATAGATTAAAAAGGGACACTTCCTCCACGAAAAAGGGGGGAAACAAAAACACCGAACATCTGGGTATCCGGGTACCTCAACATGATGCCAAAAGAATATCCTTCAACAAAACACACCCACACACACACACACACACCCTTTCTTTGGCCTTTCGGCCTCCCTCGGTCTCCAAACCCGCCTTGGTTTTGGGCTCGAAGAGGCTCGGGTGATATGAAAAGTCACGGAGTCGGCGCCAAGTCCTCAACGCTCTCGGGGCGGGAAAGGAAACCAATTGGACCTGTTGCGTTCCTTCAGTTTGGCAAGAACAAGAGTGCCCCTGAAACACATTTGCATGCGACGAAGGCTATACTTTTGTGGAAGTGTTTTCAGTTTCGGGTTAACTTCATGGACACATGCTTGGATTGAGCTTAATACCTTCTGACTAGTTTTCGCACTGACCGTCTGGCAAACCAAATAAGATCCGCACCAGAAAACAATGAAACATGCAACAGTTGCACGAGGATCACTAACCTCTCGGGCTCGGTTTTGTACCTTTTCTTGGGTGTCCTTCGTGAGTAACTAAGAACCAAAGCGTAGGAAAGGGAAAGGTCAATGTACAAGTGTATGTGTATGCGTGGTAAGGATTCAAGAAGGCAATGACTCACTGCCTTAAGGGCCTTAAGGCACAATTAGTTCATGGTCGCCCTGTGCCACCGCTAGGTTCCTCACCACAATCGCAACCGAGAACCCTACAGATCGACATTGGCATAAACATCCGTGCTGATGTAGAAGGAAGCTGTTGCAAAAGGACGTCGCTGATTCATAAACTAAATGATTGGCCTAGTCACAACAGTGTCAGATCCTCTTGGGGCACCTACACGTGGGCCGTAATCTAGGTCTGCTTACTGAGTGGGCCGACGGGCGACGAAGTGCAAGGAACAAGTTTCCCCCCGCCCCTTCCCTGCTTTTGGGGTTGGTGCGGCTAAATTTCCCTGTAGGTGGAACGTCTCTGCAAGCAAAAAACCCATGCAGTTGGCGGTTCAATAGAAATGTGCTGGTTGTTTGACTGTTCACAGGCTAGCAAGAAGAAGGCTGATCCTGTTTGGGCTTGCAATAAAACAATGAGGAAACCTGCCAACAACCGTTGCATCTTGCCAACTCAACAGGAAAGGATTCAAAAGAACTAAAGGGCTTCTAGATGTAGCTGCGCCTGCTGATTCTACTGGCTGCCTTGCGCTCCCCAGTTGTGGGTAGCCCGTCAAAAAAAACCGGCCCAGAATTTGAGAAGCTACATTCGGAACATGAAGATGCCATCCAGAGGATCCGCGTTGGTCGTTGACCCCACTGCAACATTTTAACATGCTGCTTTCAAGTGATTATAAACAGGCCGCTTCCACAAAAAAATGTTAGAAAGCTCAGAGGTCGAACCAAAGAGCCTCCAAGATTGAACCCATTTGGGTTCTAAAGTGCCTTTCTTTTTCAGAAAGACCTAGAATTTAAACCCTTGTGTGAGCCGAACCCAGGTGCCTGGCGCAAGGCTTCCGAGCTCGGAAATCCAAACCATCCGCGAAGTTTCTCCGCAGCGGCTCGACGAAATCCGGGGCCCGCGCTCGTAGCTCACCAGCGCTTTGGCGGCCTTGCACATTCCGTTCAGGCTGAAGAGCTCTTCGAAGCTCAGCGAGGCCAGCAGTGCCACCCCCACCTCGAAGTTTTGGGTCACGTCACGGGAGCCCGAAATACGTGACCCCGCAATAGATTCAAAAAAACGACGATAAAACTAGAACCACGGGTGGAAAAATTCATGTGTGTGTTTGCTTCCCTTTTCATGGGCAAGTGGCAGCTGCAGATTTTTAACGCCCGCCGCGCAGCTCTGTGCAATCCAAGTCAGCCGCAGGTGCGCAATAGGTCTTCAGCGCGTGTGACTGCAAGCAGGAAAAAACATCATGCATCTAGTGTGGAGAGCCAGAATGTGGCCGCGGGCGCTCTCCAACATCTTCAGCGCGCACAGGGCGTCGCCGCGGCCTCTCCGCGGTCACGGCCGTAACTGATGAAGCTGAGTGACGGCGGCGTCCGCGGTCATGCCGTGCGACACAGCATACTCGAGCTTCGATTGATGCCCCCAACGCAGCGCATCAAAGCATTGCAGCTCTCCACCTTGAGCGAGTTCGAAGCTTGCACAGCCTGCTGCGAGCAGCCAAGCAAGCATCGAAGAGCGCAATCGTGCTGTGCTCAAAGTGCGCGGGATCGCGGGCAAGCGCAGACCTGACGTCTTCAAAAGAGATGCCGACGACGTGGGAGACCATATGCTTTCCAAAGTATGCGCTCCAGTCTGGCGGGCTCCCTGCATGGACGCGCCGCCAAGCACATGGCTAACACGACGCTGACCCCAGTGTTGAAGCGCCGCGGCCACCTCTAGTTTGCAAGCCACCAGCAACGAAACGAACACCAAGATGAACCATTTTTGCATCACCTGACGCGTACTCGGCCGCATCCGGTCATCCGCCATGTGCAGGCACTCGGACTTGCGCCCGGCCGGACACCCTGGCCACTACGAGGCAGCGCTCAAATCACCGCCTGTCATGAGTTCTGACTAGAAAAACAGCATTTTATTAGCAATGCCCGCAGGGGGTCGTGCCGGCACCTCGGAAATCATGAACAGTCCTCAGCTTTTGCACGAGGTGTCATTTTCGCAGAGTGAGTTCGGTCCCACCCGCTTTAACAGACTAACTACTTACTTTTGTGTCCACATGTCTCGTGGGAGCTTTCTCGTACTACGTTTGGATGTGCGAGCTTTCTCGTGCAAGTTGCAAGTTTGGCTGTGCGATTTCTCGTGCAAGTTGGCTCGTGCAAGCTTGGCGGCGCGACAAATTCCCGTGCAAGTTGGCTCGTGCAAGTTTGGCGGCGCGACAAATTCTCGTGCAAGTTGGCCCGAGCAAGTTTGGCGGCGCGACAAATTCTCGTGCAAGTTGGCTCGGGCAAGTTTGGCGGCGCGACAAATTCTTGTGCAAGTTGGCTCGTGCAAGTTTGGCTGTGTGATAAGGCTGGCGATTTTACCGGAAGAACCCTTCTCAATGCTTTCGGGAAAAAACAAGTTCAGGGGGTTAACGGGATCTGAAACACTGTTCCCTGTCAAGAATTGTGACCAGTTTGCAGGCATTTGGTTCACAAGCCGTCAAACACAGACCCCTAGACAAGCACCAAACAAATGCAGAAACTTGTCATGTAAGCTTACTACAAACGGTTCATAACCTTTATGGTTTACTCTTGTTTTCCAAGTAGTATGCGCGCCAAGGCCGCCAAGGAGTTGTTGCGGCAAGCTTAACACAGATTTAGAACGATGGAATGGTGGCAGTTGTCGCAAGCAGAGGGCTTCAATGCGACAGTCTCGCAGGAAATGGCCCCCGCTGTGGCGCCGTGCCAATTTCATATAAATTTGTGTTTTGGAAGGATGGGCAGCGTCGCAGGGCGGTTGCAGCTATGCTTTGAACAATCATCGCATCAAACACGTTTTTGTTAGAGCCAAATGCGTGTGTTTTGTGGCAGGGGCACGACGCGGCGAGGCAGCTGAGTTTTGCGCGATTGGACTACGTGCGCAAAGTGAACTTTTGCTATTCGAGCTCCTCAACAAATTCTATTTGATGGTCTCTCGTGGAGATAATTTGCACTAAAGGGGTCTACCCAAACTCATGTAAAGAATCAAAATGGCGGCCCCGCAGCGATTTATGGCTGGGACTATCCCTAACCTTCGCTTCTCCAGGTTTTGATCGGCTTAAAAAGTACAGCTCAGGGTGGCGGAGCCTTGCTTTCCTCCGCCCCAAACAGTTTTCAGGTCCGGCGTGCAAAGCTCGATTTGGTCAACAAGCAACGGCTGTACAGCTAGATCCTCCAGTAGAGAGGTTGGAATGAGGGTGCCATATGTTTTTCTGTGGTCTATTTCAGTAGGGGAACCCTCCCCAAAAAACGGGAAAAGGGTACTACTGGGGGACCTAGACAGTATACATTATGTGCTACATACTGCAATTGAAAGAATCACATGTTGAACGAGCTATGAGTCGAGTTCAATCAACTCCGCACATCGTCCCCAGCCAGCCATGCCCGCCCTAGAGACCCTGCGGAAATCAGAACCGAAATGCCGAAATGCTTCGATCCTGCAACCGCGCTCGAAGCTCATGTCCAAATATTTGTAAAGCTCAACGTATGTGATGTTTAAAACAAGATGATTGGCTGACATGCTTTTTGCTTCCAGGCCAAACAGTATTCCCAAGAAATATGCTGGATTTGCCCGGACAGCCAAGGCGCATCGGCGCAAGGCAGGCCAAACAAAGTCCCCGCTGGCGCAGGGCGAGCTCCCGGCGCAGGCACTATGGTCTGTGCAGGCTCCCAGTTGGCTGTGGCTCAAAAAAGGGTACCAAAAACAAAGACTAAAACCTGCGGTTGACCCTAGCTCAGTACCTTTGAGCCACACCTAGTTGTCAAACGTTTTTGGAACAGCGCTCGTTCCAGAAGTGACCAGCTCTTGCTGCCACCAGAAGAGGTCAACGTCAAAAGCTTTGCCAAACTTGGCCAAAGCTCAAAACTCCCCGCATCCGCCTGGCTCGTTCCGATCGCCGCGATTGCACCCGCAGCCGCGGCCGGCCTGCGCCACGAATCGCTGAAACGGAACCAGTTGGATGGGCGTGTGAAAAAGATTCGTGCCATGCCTAGACGTGTCAAATAGGGGCCCTCGAAACATAGGACCAAGCTGCAACCAGTGCCAATCTTCAACCAAACTCATCTCAAAGGACACCTATTCTAGGGGTTGATTCCCATTCTTTTCAACCATCGCTCTTTTCAATAACCAGCCGTTTTCCTGAGTTTCTGAAGGTCTTCTAGAAAGATTCGGATTCCTGGAAAGAATGGGACAGGTAATCCTAGACCTATGTGGAATCCCTCTATAGCCTCTTCCCCAAGGGCCAAGAAGAACGAGATGCCAACCAGGCCCCAGCACCTCGCGTGTTTTTTTCTCCCAGTGGGGTCCCGACATTTTCTGACCTCCGCATGTCCAACCGAGTTGATTCCACGTGCCCATGGTGCAGCCGCTTGAACGCGCTCTCTTCAATGGACGCATGGAATATGAAGCTCCACAAAGGGGAGTTGCTTCCTTTTGGGTCTCCCTGAAACAATTCACAACCACAGGAAGGCTGCCCCCAAAATTTCTGCACGGAAGTCGCTGAAGAAAAAAAACACAGTCTCCCTGTCCTTGCCGGCGAGCTTGTCTTCGGGCTCTTCGCGTGCTGCAGCACTTTCACACGCCTGGCGATGGGAGGTCAACACAGAAAAAAGGTTTGAGAAATGTTGCTCATTCCCAACCAAATTTCCCCTCAGAACGGGCGCGCGGACTGCTTTTCAGCCTTTGAAGGGACGTGTTGACACCCAAAATGGTCTTGGGGGCTCAGCCTTGAAAGGGACACCAAAAGGCAAAGCGGCATTTTTTATTTATTTATTTTTGGGGGGGTCTGATGTTGACACACCCAAATAGGTTTTGGGGGCTCCCACATTTACTCCAAAGGTCTGTGGACTGCCAGCAACCGCTTGCCGCTTGCACAAATTTCGGGGGTGCCATGGCTGCCATCGGAGAGATTGGACAAATGGGACAGATTCATGGACCCGAGAGCCAAATATGGTGTGTCTTTTGTCGCGCAAGGAAACCAAGAGAAAGACCACCATCCTAACAAAGGCACGGCCATAGAATATATGCATATATGTACATATGTCTGTATAACATGTGCAAAGTGGAAAGGGGAGCATAACCGATTAAGCTGCCCTTTGTGGGCGTTCGCTCGAATCAAAGGCAAACCTACAACAGACCTGCGATGTATTGTTCGCCCCGGATCTATGACACGGATCCTGGATAGTGGAAAAAAACACCTACCGAATGCTGCAGGATTTGCTGCATTCATAGCTAGGTCCTCCAGTAAAGAGGTTGGAATAAGGGTACCCTTTTTTCTGTAGTCTATTTTAGTCGGGGAACACTCCCTACTGGGGGACCTAGACAGTAGGGGAGCTTCAGGATCCCTGCAAACACAAACCTGGATCTTCGGCCGATGGCAAATGGGTACTCGCAGTGCCCCAACCTGGAGTCTCCATGACCCTCTAACAGAAGGGGTGTTTTGTAGCATTGCCCGGTCTCTTTAAAACATGGGGTCATTACCCAAACCTAAGGGGTGACCCCTTTTTCTCGGGTTCGTGGAGACTCTAAAATTTCCTTTCGACTGCTGGGTTCCAGGGCCCCGCCAAACGTGTTTCAACGTGAATGGTCACAAGTCAACCAACTGAAACGGGGCGCACCCCTAAAGGAACCAAGGTTACGGGCGCCTTAGGCTGAAAACCGCTCGAATTTGCCAAAGTAGGGACCAAGTTGGGTTTACCCTAAAGTCAACCATGGTTACCTGGATCCCCAGTTGCCCAATTTGTCCAGCTACTTTGCCAAATCATGGGCTAGTGGGTAAAGTGGCGGGAAACAAGTGGCTACCCTCAGGCCAACCTGGGCGGTGCCACCGCTTTGGACAGCTTGACCTTTGCCGGCTGAGGAATTGGAGTTGCATTTGTTCTGCTGGTTCTCAGCAAGGAATGCAACTTGGCACCACCCGGACTCGGTCATTCCCCACTGACCAGCAAGAAATGTTTCGGGCACTGGGAGCTTCCGGCTGAGTGGGTACTTATATGTCCAATGTTTGGGGCATCCAAATCTCACTTGCCCAAAGGACCTGGAAATAAAATGGTTTCCCTGTTGGGGCCACTAAACATTCAAAAAGAAGTGGAAAACGAAAACCACCAAAATGGGCCAACAAGAGAAAACAAAAAAACACAGGGTGACTCGCTCTGGGCAACTGAGGTCCTCTTCACCTGATGATGACCCCGGATTCAACAGGGCCCATTATCTTACCATGATTAAAGTCACCCCCAGAGTGGTGGGGTAAAACGGGAAGCCACCACATTTTCTGACTTTGACCACTGTTTTCCCTTTAAGCTGGCAGGTTTCGATACTTTGATCACCACCAAAAACATGAAAAACATGAAAAATCATGGCTCCGGGTGAAACCTGTCCCTTTTTTGGGGGGTGTTGTCCCTGGCTCGGTTTCGATCCGCGTCCTTTTTTGTCCCGCCTCCTCAGCTCCGCCTTGGGCAGGCACCGCAGCTGCGCCGCCAGGCGGCGAGCCGCGGCGCAGGTTAAGCCCAGCGCCCCCTGAGGGCAATGCTAGGTCCAGTAGCGAGCTTCGAATAAGTTGGTGCCCGATGTTTGTCTGTTTCGTCTATTTTAGTAGGGGAACCCTCACCCCAAAACAAAAGGGTGAGAAAGGGCACAATAACAGGGATCCTTTCCTTTTACACCTGAACATTGCCTTGTAAGCGGCGGTTTCCCTTTTTGGTGGAAAAAGCCACGTTTCAAATGGGCAAATGTATCTTTTAAGGAGCCCTGCTCCAGCAGAGAGCTTAGAATAAAGGCACCCGATTATTTTTCAGTTTTGTTTATTTTAGTAGGGGAACCCTTCCACCAAAAAGTGTGAGAAAGGGCACTACTGGGGGACCTAGGTAGTGTTGACCCCGTACCGAGGATGGCTGCGACATCTGCTTCTTGCACCACCGTTCAGAAACGCCTGGTGTCTGATGGATGACCCCATACCGAAATCCGCTTCTCGCACCACCTACCGGAAACCCTGGTGTATGATACGATTCCCCTGTACATACCAACAAACGTGATGGTTTCAACCAGAGTTCTTAGGTGGTGCGAAATGGATTTTGCCCATCGACAGTATTATCAACCCCTGTTTATTAATAAAAAGTGGTCTGATTCGGGCAACCCCCCTGTTAATAAACAGTGGTTAATTAATATATGGGGTCACAGTAGCCTGTTGTTTGGGTGGTTTTAGAGGGAAACCAAAAGAACAACCACCAGTTTGGAGGTACAGCCAAAACAAGACACAGCCACGTGGTTTGTTGAAGGCTAAACCGCCTCCGGAAAAAGAAGAAGAAGAAAACAGGAGGCACTGTATGGCTAGCGAGTTTGAGCCTAGTTGCAATCGGTCGGGTTCTAGTTTCAGAACGCACGCTGTGCCAAACTATCACAAGCCATGTTGCTGTCTGGATTTCGACTACACCTCCTTTCGTCAACACACGGAGGGGTGCCAGGAGCGGCTTCAGAAACAGTGTGTGTGTGTGTGTGTGCATAGGTGTCCTTCTAGGGAAATAGATGGCCCTGGTAGATGATTGAACCACCAGGCAAACCAGGGCCACCTAGTGCTCTACCAAAACAACCAAGAAGGACACCTGTGTGTGTGTGAGTGAGTGTGTGTGTGTGTGTGTGCGTGTGTGTGGGTGTGTGAGTGTGTGAGTGAGTGAGTGAGTGAGTGAGTGAGTGAGTGAGTGAGTGAGTGAGTGAGTGAGTGAGTGAGTGAGTGAGTGAGTGAGTGAGTGAGTGAGTGAGTGAGTGAGTGAGTGAGTGAGTGAGTGAGTGAGTGAGTGAGTGAGTGAGTGAGTGAGTGAGTGAGTGAGTGAGTGAGTGAGTGAGTGAGTGAGTGAGTGAGTGAGTGAGTGAGTGAGTGAGTGAGTGAGTGAGTGAGTGAGTGAGTGAGTGAGTGAGTGAGTGAGTGAGTGAGTGAGTGAGTGAGTGAGTGAGTGAGTGAGTGAGTGAGTGAGTGAGTGAGTGAGTGAGTGAGTGAGTGAGTGAGTGAGTGAGTGAGTGAGTGAGTGAGTGAGTGAGTGAGTGAGTGAGTGAGTGAGTGAGTGAGTGAGTGAGTGAGTGAGTGAGTGAGTGAGTGAGTGAGTGAGTGAGTGAGTGAGTGAGTGAGTGAGTGAGTGAGTGAGTGAGTGAGTGAGTGAGTGAGTGAGTGAGTGAGTGAGTGAGTGAGTGAGTGAGTGAGTGAGTGAGTGAGTGAGTGAGTGAGTGAGTGAGTGAGTGAGTGAGTGAGTGAGTGAGTGAGTGAGTGAGTGAGTGAGTGAGTGAGTCAGTGAGTGAGTGAGTGAGTGAGTGAGTGAGTGAGTGAGTGAGTGAGTGAGTGAGTGAGTGAGTGAGTGAGTGTGCGTGCGCGCGTGTGTGTGTGTGTGTGTGTCGACTCTGACAGGAAATTGCCTGCGTCCAACGTCCCTGCCAAATGGACCATAGATCTAGGGATACCTTCCACTTCCATTCTTTCCAGGGACCCTTCTTTCTAGAAAACCTCCGGAAACCCAGGGAAAAGGGATCCGGTTTTTGAAAAGAACGATGGTTGAAAACAATGGAAAAGGAATCAACCCCTAGAATAAACAAAGCAGGACATGTCCGACCGACGTCGACGTCTTCGCCGGTGCGAAGAGCGACCCGGCCTTGAGTTCCAGCGCCGCGGCAGCATCCTCAGTAGCCGGATGTTAAGGGAGGTCAAGCGGGGAACCGGGAACTGTGCAGGTGTTTTCATGGAAAATTCAAAGGGTTGGGTTACAGGCACATCTGCACAGAATGGCCCCAAAACAGCCTAAACAAGCCGTTCTCCTGTAGAATTTCCTACCCAACCCTTTGAAAAATAACTCAAGATCTAAATGCAAAACATAAGGACACCAACAGCACCAATGGTCCGGGGTCACCTTACACCCTGCTTGGAGACAACAAGCGGCTTGAGGAGGTTTAAACAAAACTGAACGGTCCCTGTCTATTTTCCCAACAACGGCGCCAAAAGGTGCCCCCCTGCCATGGTCGCTGGAAAACCCTTTCAACCGAAGCTCAACTACTTCTGCTTCCCTGAGCATAAATCGGGAACCCTTTGTGACATCAAGGGACATACTGTGGATGGACGAAAAATCATTTCGCATCACCTAAGAACAATGGCTGAAACCGTCACCTTTGTCGGTATTTACAGGTGGAATCATCAATCAGGCACCAGGGGTTTCTGAACCACCGAAGAACTCTGGTTAAAACCATCACGTTTGTTGGTATGTACAAAGGAATCGTGTCAGACATTAGGGGTTTCTGACAGGTGGTGCGATTTTGTCCATCCACGAAGATGGCTTCCTGCTCAGGCCCCGCCTGAGAAGCCTCGACGGGTGGAGCTTGCAGCGCTGGTGAAGGTCCTGTGAGACTTCTGCGAAGCAAAAGAAGGAACTCGATAAACAGAAAACTACGGGCCTGCAGTTTTGGAGGGTGGCTGTCTTGATCTTTGTGGGTTGTGAAGGGAAGCCAAAAGGAAAACCGAAGCCATTTCGAGGGGGATCCCCGAAAAAAAAGACTTCGCCTGGAGCAACCCCCACCCTCCACACTGCGAGCTTACGACCATGACACGTGAATTCAAGCGTGGTTTTCGAGTGGCTTGGGGCCTATCGCTGCTCAACAAGCTTTGCGTTGAGAGCCTTATCCACCTGTCTGTGTGTCAAACTCCACTTGTCTGCGAGCCGATCTCGAGAACTCAAACATCGGTTCCGTTAACAAAAGCCAAGCCCCTTCCAAAAAGAAACCCGACGGGGGATTAAACGAAGTTGCTTATTCACAACACAAAGGCATCACCCTTTCCGAGCCTCAGGGTACACTCAAAAAACGAAGGCGCAGGATCCACCGGCAAGGGATACTCAGCGGGATACTTGGCGGGATCCACTGGCGAGCTGGATCAGCGGGATACTCGGCGGCTGCTCTGGTGGGATACTCGGCGGGGTTTACTGGGGAGCTGCTCTGGCGGGACACTCGGCGGGATCCACTGGCGACTCTGGGATACTCAGCGGGATACTCGGCGGGATCCCTGGCGAGCAGCTTTGGTGGGATACTCGGCGGGATCCACTGGCGAGCCGCTCGGCGGGATCCACTGCACTGGCGAGCAGCTCTGGCGGGATACTGGGCGGGATCAGCAGCTGGTGGGATACTCCGCTCTGGCGGGATCGGCGGGATCCACTGGCGAGCAGCTCTGGCGGGATCCACTGGCGAGCCGCTCTGGCGGGATACTCGGCGGGATCCACTGGCGAGCTGCTTTGGCGGGATACTCGGCGGGATCCACTGGCGAGCTGCTTTGGCGGGATACTGGGTGGGGGCATGGTGTAGAAGCATCGCAAACGCGGATTCCAACATAAAATCTAACAACCCCTTCCTGTCGGGTGGGGAAAAGGACACACCCATACAAACACAACAGCCGAGCCTGTAATCACATTAAACTCACAATCAGACTCAGCAAAAAAAACAAAGGCCAAGCGTGTTGTCGAGTCGGCGACCGACAAGAGCAGCCCTCCATTCAAAAGAGGTTGCCCTGTTTCACAAGATCACGTGGATATACTGTACATGGGAAATTATCTCAAGTGGGAATCCCATGATTTACAGGGGGGATTTGTGAGAACCGCTTTGAGGGTATCCCCAATTGAGGTTCATACTCAAGAATGTATCATCATCTTACAAATTATGTTGTGTGCTTTGATTGTAGCCTGTTCATGTCCAGAACAATCACGATGCGCTTTTGGGGGGGAGGGGGGGGTGAACCAACCAAATATTAGTCCCTTCAAACTGGGGCGTGGGGCTACGAATGGAACCCACCAGAAAGGAAAATTGCCATTCGGGACCCTTCAGGACCCTGCCCGAAGCCGGGTTCCATGCTAGCGATGGGAGTTGGCAATATCAGCGTTTCTATTTCGGTGTGTTGTTTGAGGGTAGCCCTTTCACCTTGGCTCAAAGTGGAACCCAAAGACAAAAGACTCTACTTGGAGGGTACCTGTAGTCCGGTACCAACCCCTTGCTTCCCCAGCTCATCTGGGCCTTCAACTGGACCAAGTCTTCCGCATGCCCGTGACTGCAGCTCCACTTGCACTGCCTGAAGCGGGCACGTGCAATCATGCAATCGGCGTCCAGGATTTGTCCTGCTTAGGTCCCAACATGGGTTCACCATGCCACTCTGAAAAACTGAAAAACTTTTAAAAAAACCAAGCCATACCTTCACCATACTGCTTGGAAGGTCCAAAACTGAAAAACTGAGAAGCCACTTTGATGCAGCTCGTTGGACCTTCTGCCCCCTTGGGCAGAAAAACCGGCAAGTCGCTAGTTCCTGCATCTGCTGGAATACACACCTGACTCCCAGCCAAATTGAATTTGGGACCATCTGTTCATTGCCGAAATGCGCAAAGGAACCGTTGAATTTTGAGATATTTTGAGTGCATGATTGAAGTAGCACAATATCGTGGTAGGGATCAGTTCTACACATGAACAAACCTAAACTAGCAACTCAACTTGAACCAAGGGCCTTTAAACTGAGGCAAACATATGCACGGTCGAGATTACTTACATACGGCTGTTTCGCCACTTAGTTTGAGTCCCCTATCGTTTTCCAGCGTTTTCATTCTTTTCCAGGGGTATCTTTTTTTGAGAGTCCCCTATCATTTTCCAGCGTTTTCATTCTTTTCCAGGGATATATATTTTTGAGAGTCCCCTATCGTTTGCCATCGTTGTGTGCATTCTCACAATATCAACGAAACACCGAATACCAAACTCAACAGAAGTAATTCTGACGGTACTTCATATCATGATCAGGAGGAAATTCTAAGGGGCGAGAAGTTACCAGTATTGTGCCACCGTTTTAATCCAATTGTTAACCCAACTCAATGTGTATCATGTGTTTCTGTCTGCAAAATAAACATGCCAAGCACTCCCGCGGTTCAAACCTGGTGAGACAAGTGGGTTCTAGTACAGGCTGTGAGGCTCCTTATTGACCGTTCTTTCAGGTCCTCAAAAACTGGCGAGTGCACTGAGGTCTGCATCGCTCAGCCTGTGCATTGACAAAGCCGGGCTAACAATTGGATTCAAACGGTGGCACAATACTGGTAACTTCTCGCCCAGTAGAATCACCTCCTAATCACGACATCGTTTTCCTCATATAGAGGCCCTTGGTTCAAGTTGAGTTGCTTAGTTTAGGTTTGTTCATGGTTGATTCGTAGGGTGTGTCCTCCTCCAGGGCTGGAATGCACACCGCGTCTCAAGAAAAAAACACGACCCACACCTTACTAGGGTCCTTCATCAAGAAAAATATTGAGAAAAAACAAAACACAGAGATCTACCTCTTTGCCATGGAAGGTTCTTGAGTAGAGAGGCTAGAAGAAGTTGGTACCCTTTTTTCTGTTTCGTCTATCTTAGTGGGGTTCCCACCCTCCCCAAAAAAAGGAACGCTCAAAGTTGGCACCAATCGCTGGACCTGGGAAGTCTGGCGCACCTTGAGACCCAGTCCAGCGCCCGTTTTTGTCGATGGGTCTAATCGAACTAAACCTGCGGTCCGAAGGAACTCGACGCGTTCCCGGGGCTTGCGTTCCGTTTCAAATGGTCCCAAGAAACTCGACTCGGTGGTTTAAGGACATTTCCCAAAAGAACTCACAGCTCGGTTGCGAAATCTGCTGCCCTGCTAAAAGTGACTAACTTTTAGTGGCTTAATTCGGAAAACCCACTAGTTGGCAACAAGTTAAAGTCCTAACATCCCTTGGCAAAATGCAGCAAAGCACATGCCATGATAAAATCTCTGGGGCTTCTTGCTATACCACAAAACATCGGCAAATGGCAGATCAGTTCTTTCATCTAGTTTTGCCAATGCGTGGACCACGTGTTGTGGCGAACCCCACCAGGAACAAGGGAACCTTGACATTGGTGGTGTTACCCTCAAGGGATCGATACTTCCTACCAATCCCACGAACAAAATCTCTTGGTTGAAAGGGGTGGCCTCCTAGACACCCAGACACAAACATGTCACCTTCAGGACTAGACAAAAAATGCCCCGAAAATCCCTTGGTTCGATGTGTGTTCTTTGTTTTTGGGCGGGTAGAACCGGAAAACCGCCCAGAGGTCCAAACTCTTTGGCACATACCCATTTTTTGATGACCCAATCATTTATTTGTCCCCTTCAATCAATGGGCAACATCATCGACCGCAAAGAAACAAGGCCGTCTCAAATCCATTGTTCCCGGAAAGCACTCCAATGGTAAGAACCCCATGATCTGTTTGTTTTTGGATGATCCCGCAAATTGTTAGGTGCCTTCAATACCCTCTGTTTTTTGGATCACCCATTAAGGCACATACCCACTTTTTTGATGGCCCAAGAAACAACACAAATCCTTACATTATACACCTGAACATTGCAACTTGTAAATGGTGGTTTCCCCTTATTTTGGTGTTGAAAAGGCCATGTTTCAAACGGGCAGAATGTATCTTTTAAGGAGCCCTGACAACGAAATCCCCTCGGTTCCCTCCCCGATCCGACCGCACGATCGGATCGGCGGCTCGTGGGAGCCTTCTGAAGCTGACGCTCCAGGCCTTGCCGCGCCTTCTGATGGGCGCACGCCTGGCAGGGGGGGGGGGGGGGGGTTGGCACGCCTACGGCCCAGAGCAAAAATTGTGCGGCCGGGGAAGGGGGGGGGGGGGGGGGGGGCTGAACACCTGTCTTACAATCGGCGGCAGGACATGGACTACCCCTAAAAAGGGGCGGGTTTTTGTGGCGATGTTTGTTGAGCACACACTTAAGGAGAATTGGAGAGTTGAATTACCCCTTGAACAGACATATTCGAAAGGCCCTAAGTGCCAGGCGGGATTTTGACCCAAGCGCTTTGTGTCTCCAACATGGGCTCACCTCAAAAATGTCTCAAACATGTATATATGATGTGTACTGGGTTGGGCCCTTTGGTGGACATCATAAACAAAAGCACATGGGCATTGATGTCCACCAACCGTTTTGACCAAACGGCAAGTGGGGAATGCAATTCCATACTGGGCTTTCCCCAAAGTGGATGGGTTCACCACACGATTCCCAAATTGTCGAGTGCCAGGCGAATTGGGACCCCAAGACAAAGGAGTCGCGCCCTAAAAGGGGTCAGTATTGTCTCAATCGGTAGGCCTACTTTCATGGCCGAAAATATTCAAACCTCAAATGGCGAAGGCCGTCGCAGGGTTGAGGATTGGCTTGGGACTATCCCCAATAAACCAGTTGTCTATTCCGAAGAGTCCTCAGGTGGATGTGCGGACGGGATGGATGTGAAGAAAATGAACGCATTTTGTTGGATGGATATGGATTTATCCTGTCTTGTTTTGGGTAATCGGAGATGGACACATGTTGATCTAGCGCGTGCGGCTGGTCTGGTTCACGTGAAGGCAGTCCATCCCACAAGACGCCAAGCCGAATGAGGCACTTTTGGGTACTAGAAAAACAAACGCCAACCATCTGTGGATCTAGGTGCCCCTTTGCAACATAGATTCCACTGCTGACAAGAGCGTCAAACGCACATTGAAAAACAAAAAAACCAACAAGACATTGAAACCGTCCATGGCCTGTCTCAATGAGCCGACTACACTCGAACCTGCAGAGCCTTGGTCCAACTGACCTCTTCGCGGACTGCACTAATCAGAGGAAGCCTCCCAACATGAAGAATGAATTGCGCCGAAGGATGCTTTCCCAGCCCTGACTAAAGTGGTCTGACAAGAATCGGAGAAACAAAAAAACACTCACATTCACAGATTTCAGTGAGACCAAGCTGAATTAAGCCAATTGGCGTTAACGCTCTAACCAAAGGGCAGCCAGTTCCTAAAGAAGGACCTATAAAATTATCTTCTAAAGACGCTTTTATACCAACACCGCGAAGAGATAGAAAGAAAACACAAAAAAGAAGAAGAAAAAAAGCGTACCCTTAAAAACATTGAAGATATTTTGATTCTTGTCGTTCCCCAAAAAGGACTAATATTTTTAGATATGATGTGAAGGACGCCCCTCCAACTCCCAACCCTGCCTCGTCTGCCGCCTTCTTGCGGCAAGCTGCCAAGCGATCCCGGGAGGGTCTGCTCCTGCCCCACAAACCTATACGGTTCCAAATAACTCGAATGGAGCTCTGGGTTCATGAAAATCAGAGTCAGTGATGATCATTCCATGATAGCGTATGTCATGTGTTAACCCTCGTATTTCAACTCTGCTGGTTGACATGGAAGCCCAAAAGACAGTCCAGATACAGCAATGTCTTCTTTTGGGGATCAGTTTTGTTGGATTCCATGCCAACTTGTGGGCATCTATCTGCGCACAAGGGTACAAGCCGGGCTTCTGCACAGGGGCAGCCAAGGAAAAGCAGACCACATTTCTGCGTGGTTCGACTTGACAAGGCAATTTCGAGCATGCCTGAGACATACACACATGCCCAATCCGAGGGGCGCGGGAGCAAGGAAAAATGATCGACAAATATCGCGCACCCGGATGAAAAAGAAATCAGGGATCGAGAAGAGCATATGTCACCCAAGTGTGGGGCTGGTTTAGGGAGGGTTCATGGGTGGGTTCAGGGCCGGCTTAGGCTTGGCTTCAAGGTTGGTTTCGGGCCGGTTTTGTGTTGATGTGTTTGTGGACTTAGGGCGGGTTTAAGGTGGAGTTCGGGCCGGTTTAGGGTGGGTTTAGCGTTTGGTTTAGGGCTGAGTTGGTTTAGGGTTGGCTTAAGGTTCTGGCTTCAAGGTTGGTTTAGGATTAATTAGGGGTTCAGGGTGGGTTTAGGTTGGTTGGGGCAATCAATGAGACCAGGAGACCAGGAGACCAGGGAACCAGCAGACCAAGGAAGAGAGACCAAGGGAACCATGACGGGGGACCTGAATCACTGAAAATGTGCCTTTCATCCCGGCAAAATTCTGTGGCGGGCTTTGGCTGTCGGGTGGCTCACCTGAGGACTGGGGGCCTCAGCGCGGATTCTGCTGAGAAAAAATTGGCTGTGGCTCAAAAACCCGTCCCAAAATGGAACCCTGGTAAGTGGAAACATGGACCAAAACCTGCGTAACCCCTCCGGTTTAATTCTGAGCCACACCCATTTATTCAAAACAGGGAACATGCAAAACTGGAGCCAGCGAAAATGCCGCCAGTTCCCAAAGATGTAAGGGGCGCTGCCAGGTCATACAGACCCGCTGATGCATGAAACCGCGTGGACAGATTGGGTCAATGTAGGTTGCCAAAGGCATCGCAACGGCTAGAGTCATCCTCGGCTCGAATGGTTCGGACTAGCATCCTCCCACGCGCAGCCCCCCCAAACATAGACTGGTTGCTTGCGAGGACTGCCTTTCTATCGGTGAACTCTCAGGGTTGCTTGTGCTCTCCTTCCAGTGGGTCCCTCGCGCTCCCGCCCCTCCTGACCAGTGCTCGCAGCGCGTGGTACCTAGGTCTCACCGAGGTTCCGTTGGCCAGCATGCTACAACCCCCGGCCTAAAGCAACATTCATGCATTTTGAAACAACCCATAACGACATCGGCACACAAACCAACACGCACACAGAGGCAAACACTGAGACATACATGCAAAGACACAGACTCGGAAACATATACGCACGGACACAAAATCACTGCAGAAACAAAAACAAACACAAACATTCACAAAAACACCAACACCCACACACACACACACACACACACACGAACATATGAATAAACTAACGCAAGCCCGACCCCCAAACACAAACAGAACCGAACACGAAAAAATAAAACAACATAACAAAAAAAAAACACAAACCAACGCGCAAAGAAACAAAAGAACAAACGAACAAACAAACAAACAAACAAACAAACAAACAAACAAACAAACAAACAAACAAACAAACCAACGCACAAAGAAACAAACAGCAAGCAAGCAAGCAAAGCAAAGCAAAGCAAAGCAAAGCAAAGCAAAGCAAAGCAAAAAAAGAAGAAGAAAGCAAAGCAAAAAACAGCAAGCAAGCAGACAAGAAAATAGACAACCAAGCAACAACCAAGCAAGCTGGCAAGCAAGCAGCCAACCAAACAATTGAAACAAACAAGCAAACAATCATACATACGTACACAACACAGCAACGCAACCCACACACACACACAGAGAAACACCTACAAAGATACAAATGATTACGGACACAGACACGCACGAGCACATTGGGACACAAAGTGGCACATGCGCAAACACTAAAAAGACACACAAACGAAAAAAGGCACAGGGAAGAACACACATGTATTTTTTGAGAACACGCATACCACACACACTGTTCACACCAAAATTGTTGTGTCAAGACATGTTGGGGTGGAACTGGCTTTGTACAATCTAAACGTGGCAACAGCATGAATAATGCATCAAATACCACGCCATGGCTCACTGCAGGCGCAAAAAACAGGCTTTAGCTGCAAGAAACAGGCGAGGTGCAAAGGACGTTTAAAAAACAGTCGTGGATTTCCAGGGACACGCTCGCAAACCTGCAATCAAGATGGCAGGGAGCCCCCAAAATAGTTTCGTTCTGGTTTCTCTTCCAAAGCCCACCACATACAAAACAAGCAACGCCCTCGGACACCGAACTCGCGCCAAGTGGCTGCTGCACTGCGAGGTCGAGACCCCGCGTGGTGGGGCCTGACGGCGGTTGGACAGAGGACAAGAGGGGGGCCTGCAGCCTTTTTGGCTTCCAATGGGTCTCAAAAAGCGCCTGTTGCGGCGTGGGAGAAACTTACAGGCGTGTTTTTGAGACCCAGCCAAAAGAGACCTCAGCACCTTTTTCTTGCAAAGCAAAAGAAGGAAACCACGGAAAAAAATCCAGGACAAACTGCTGGACCCCTTCAGGACTCTAGACCGGGCTATCTTCTCTTTTGACCGCTTTTTGCTTCTGTGCTCTTTTATTCAGGAATACCGGATTGCAGGACTAGCTCGGCCAAGGACTTTAGCCGCAAAACGCAGAAGGGCGGCTTGTGTGAAGGGCTGAGCTCCGAGCCAAACACGAAGCCGAGCGCTCCAAACCGAGCCGAAGAAGAAAAAAAGAAGAAGAAACAAAAGAACAAACACCGAGAAGAGAAAACAAACAAAAAACGGAGCCGTCGCTTCGACTTGCGACTCGAAGGCCCGAAGGCCGGGCGAATGAGGCGCGGGCTGTAGATGGTGCCGTGCTTCGAGGAGAAAGCGCTGCGGAAGGAGAGCTGGATGCTGGGCTCGGCCCTGGGGCATTGCTGGTTGCATCCCCGGGATCCAGGGTCTGAAATCTGCGTTTGGATTTGTTTGGTAGTTTGAGGGGTGAGCAACTCTTTAAGGGGTACTTCAAAGCCAATTTGAGTCATGATTCATTGCAGGAAAAGCTATGGCACATACATGATAGAGATAGATAGAGATGGATGGAGAGTCATTGTGTAGTCCATTTATAACATGGAACTTGAATGGAGGCCCCTGAAAGACAAGTGTTCTTGGGGACCACTGTGAGAGGGGGTGTGCAAGATGGTCTGGACGGGGCTTGCTTTGCGTGGCTGATTTCTGCCACGTCATGCGGCCCTCGGGGAAATCAGGAACATCACCATCAAGGGAAACCACTACCCCGTGACAGAAGCATTCATTCTAAAAAAGGAAAACCACCCCCCTGCGAACATGAAGAAAACCACTACCCTGAAACCACTACCCCCCTGTGATATAGGGGAAACCACCCTGAAACCACCCAAGGGAATCCCCTATCAACTAGGTCCTCCAGTAGAGAGGTTTGAATAAGGGTACCCTTTTTTCTGTAGTCTATTTGAGTAGCGGAACCCTCCCCCAAAAAAGAAACGGTGAGAAAGGGCCCCAATTGCTGGGGACCTACACGTTCCATCGAGGGCGCTGCAACAGCTGCCGCAGCTCGCTCTGCTCCAGAGGCGGAAGTGGATTTCCACCCTTTCGCCGCAGCCGCGCCGAGGCGGTGGCCACGGTCTGCGGGGCTCGTTGGATTCAGTTGCTTCAGTCCCCGAAAACAAAAACGTGAGATAGCGGTAGATGCACCTAGAAACCCTTGAGATATGTCCAGTGGTGGTGGATTTTGCTTTAAAACCAGGGGAGATAAACACATATTCGTAAGGTAATGAGCTGTTGGAAGAATTGTCCCTGTCTGAGTCCAGAGAAATTGGTTCGGAAGTTAGATTACCCCAAGCAACCCCACCGTGGCTCCAGGAAAAAGGAAACTGTGGAGAAGTCGGCAAGTGGGCGGTTTCTGCGGTGCCCAACATGTGAGCTATTTGCAGTACCCAGTGGATCTGTTTACTGAAATCCGCAACCAAAGAAAAACCCTTCAAAAAGGAACATCGATGCCTTGTGGTGGCTGGCCTGGGTTCCACTGCAAAGCAAATGCCCAAAGGAGGTTTGTGTGCTCAAGACTGTTTTTGGAATGTTTTTTTAGGTTTTTTAGGGACAGTACAGCACTTTCAGCCTCCAAAGCCTGGATTTTAGGGACAGTACAGCACTTTCTGCATGCTGATGCTCAAAAGTGCTGTACTGTCCCTAAAAAACCAAAAAAAGTGCTGATCCCCTCCGCAAAACATCGCCAAAGGGCATGGATACTTCGAAAAGGACCAACCTGCAAACCCATTCTTTTCAGAATGGGTTGCCGTCGTGCCCTCCGTTTCGCGGATCTGGACTGGTCAAATTGAACCTAGCAAAATTACATATCTTTGCCAAACGGAGACTCATCGACATTTGATACCGAGAAAAAGGCTATACAAGATTCTCGGTTGCTTTCTGCTGCCCTGCTAAAAGTTTAACTTTTAGTGGTTTAATGGAAAACCCACTAGTTGGCAAAAAGGTAAAGTCCTAACATCCCTTGGCAAAATGCAGCAAAGGGTTGATATGGGCGTGTCTTTTCTTGATGGTGCCCCTTTCTTATGGCTTCAAACAGAAACCAAACAGAAAACCAGGTATTTGTTTGTTGGGGTCTTGGTGTTGTCCCCAAAAAGCTGGGCCCCGCTAAAAGTTTAGGGGTTGATTCCTTTTCCATTCTTTTCAACCATCATTTCTTTTCAAAAACCGGATCCGTTTCCTCTGGATATTCTTGTTGTAGCCGCAGCTTAAGGGGTCGTCCCCGATGGCCCGCTTCAACCCCTCGCCATCTCGCCTGCGTCAGGGCGATGTGCCAGTCGATGGCTTCGGCCAGCTGCAGCGTGCGCCCCGTTCGGATGATGAAAGAGGAGTAGCTGAGCTGCACAAAGTACCTCTGGACAACTTCCATTTGCTTTTCCGACCCCTGCAACAAAAAATGCCGGACAACTTTTCCAGTGATATAACTCCAGCAAAAGATTGACCATGCAAAAGGTCGACGAAGGGGAAGAAGAACAAAACGATTTTTGTCGCAGTTAAATGGCTGGACTTTTGACCACTTCCATTTGGCTTTTCGCTTTTGACTCCAACAAGTTGGTAGAGATGAGAAACTACTCGACTCCACACCACCGGGCTCCACACCACAGGCTTCCATTTGGTCTTAAACGACCCCTGGAAAAAAGAAAAGAACATATGGTCCAGTGATAGATTCCGTTTACCAACAGGGAAAAGAAAACATATTGGTAAGCAAAGGTCTAGGTCTAGGGGTCCAGAGGTTGATTCAGTTTCCATTCTTTTCAACCATCCTCCTTTTCAAGAACCGGATCCATTTTCCCGTGTCCGGAAGTTTTCTAGAAAGATCCGGATCCCTGGAACTAAGGGAATTGGGAGGTACCCTAAAGGACGCTCTCGGCTGCGGACAGAACCAGAAGTTCTAGACACGTCCAATTCCATTCTTTCCGATCCGAATCTTTCCAGAAAACCATCAGAACTTAGGGGAAACTGCCGTTTTGTGTTTGTTTTGTTTTTAAGAACGATGGTTGAAAAGAATGGAAAAGGAATCAACCCCTAGAAAAGTGGGGTGTGTTGCTGAAAAGAAGGCGACCCAGCTCCAGAACAAGAGAACAGACAGGCGCACAAGGCCGTTGGTTGCAAGTGGGTATGACCTTTACATACTACTTGGCCGAGCCTCCAAGCAGGGCTTCGAAACCTTGGCAAGGGGATCCACTCCCATCCAAAGTGGGTCCAAATGGCCTTCACAACGGGTACATGGTACTTCTCACAGGAATAGATGCCTGAGCCAGGACAAGTGGAAGTTGACTGGATGCCGCATACCACATGCCCTTTGAACTCAGGCATTGAATTGGCGATTGACATCCATGTTAAATATATGCACTGCTTCTGGAATTTTTAGGCTGGTTCTTCAAGCAAACTGGACAGGCTACTCACTTTCGGAGGTGTCCCCAAACGTCTGGGGCTCTTCTGCGCAAACCCCCGTCACGCGCCTGACGATGCCATTGCTGGCCTTCGCAGCATAGATACCTCGCACAAAGCGCCGGAAGCGCTGAGCAACTTGGTTAGCCATTACACATCCCTGCACCTAAAGCGAGACCATGAGGCTGCTCAAACGGTGACTCTAACAAGTTTAAGCCAGTTGAATCGCTCTGGGTCCAGACCACTGATAGACACAGTCAAACGCATCCAACGCCCCAAGTCTCTCTGACCAAGACACAAGGATGTCCAACCGACGCCGGTGTCCGATCCTTTTTCAGCGACCCTGCAAACCACTCCCACACGACCCCCACCCAATCATCCCTCGTGTCCGCACCGAATAGCGGGTCACTATTCCCATCTCCAGCTGGAAAAAAACAAAACCAGGAACGTTTCAGGTTTTGAGGGGTGGCTTCAACTGGAAGCCAAGCATTGGAAGGGGCCCGAAGCTCCCAAAGCTCAGCAACTCTCACACACACACACAACCATATCCGAAGTGTCCTGAAAGGCAATTCATGTGCACAACCCCATGTTCAAAATACCAACGTGTTCGTTGTTGAAAAGGATGCCCATGGCGCACATATCCACATCCTTACAGACATTTGTCGTTATGACTAGCGGGCGAACAAGTCTATACTTGCAAATCAACACTCTAATTGATCACAATCTGAAACAAGAGACTTTCCAGAACAATAGACCCCGTCCCTAGAATTTGCACAATTCCATGTCGACTCACTCGACCTTAGTGCAGCCATGGTGCGGAAACAACAGCAGCTAGAATGGAACCTAAAGGTTCCTCGACGTAAACTCAATATAATCTTCCAGGGGGCTCTGGTTAAGTTGCATGTTGGCACAGGATACAGTCACCCCGTATCAAATCCTCCACCTTGGAGGGACCGACCACTAATCCGAAATGCTTGTGTATTCGGCCGCTGACAAAAGCCGATTGCCACTTGAAAGCATATACATTGAAGAATGCTATCAAGGCAAGCCAGGTGAAGCAATAACACGTACACTAGTGAGTACACAAAGGCTACCCGTATTTGCTAAGGCTTATTAGGGGATGCCCCTCCCTTCCCTCCCTGCCTCCCTCCCTCCCTCCCTGCCTTCCTGCCTCCCTGCCTCCCTGCCTCCCGCCTCCCTGCCTCCCTGAAAACAAGCCTCCGCCGACTGCCGAGCCGCTGCGTTGCTGCGTGCGCACCCTCTCGCTCTGCGGCTCCCGCGGCACCTCGCCGTCACCGTCGCCGCCGGCAGTCGCGGCTGCCGGCGCGGCCGAGAACCGCCGCGCGTCCCAGGTGCGGGCCGCGGCGAGGCCGTCCAGGCCGCTGTGCTCAGCGTGAGCGCGGATGGCCGCCTTCACCGACCTGCCGCACATGCCGCGGATGGCGCCTGGGGGGAGGGGGGGGGAGACGCGGTTTCCCGCGCTCGTGGTGTCTTTTTTGGGCTTCCCCGGGTTGTTTTACAAGCCAATTGTGGGCGCTCACAATATATTCCTGTGAAGGAAGCCCAAGCCGCCAAAAAAAATCAGACGCGACCCAACTGGTAGGTAAAAGGAAGCCGCCCAAACGCTTGGGTTGGGTCCCAGAAAGTCCCAGGCAAAGGATCGACAGCTTCGAGTCTTCGACAGCTTCAATCGAGAAAGGAGGTCATCAAAAGCTATCTTGATGGACATGATGGCAAAGAAATTGCACTTGACCTCAATGGTTGTAGCCATGTGGTGTTGCTCACTCACTCACTCACTCACTCACTCACTCACTCACTCACTCACTCACTCACTCACTCACTCACTCACTCACTCACTCACTCACTCACTCACTCACTCTCTCACTCACTCACTCACTCACTCACTCACTCACTCACTCACTCACTCACTCACTCTCTCTCTCTCTCTCTCTCTATCTTTTTTGTTTTATTTGTCAAGAGGCATAAAGACAGGGGCCCTTGACACTCAACCCGAATGGGCCTCCACACTTCACAAAGGCTCTTTGGGAACCCTGAAAGGTGTCAAATGCGCCGACTTCCGACCTGAACCAACAAAAATCCAGGAAGAATGCCAACAGTGGATGGCATCTTCTGAATGAAAAAAGGGCGGGTAGGCTTCATTTGGATACGCCGAAGACTTTCTCGAGCGAGCGAGCCTTTGAGCATCAAAAAAAGGACCAGCTGGAAGCTTCGAGGGACGGACCCTAAAGTCGTTGGGCAGCCCAGTGGGTGCGTCGTTTTTTAGAGGAGACCATCAAGAAGGGGGGGGTAGTCCTTTTCGTTTTTGGTTTCCCAAGAAATCCCAAGAAAAACCATTTTCTGTTGGTTTCTCTCTTGGGATTCCTTTTCTTTCTCCAGCGTCGAACTTTGGAGAAAAATCGGAGAGAGAAGTGTGGGCAATCAGGTACGATCAAAGTTATCGGATGGTTCAATTGGACGGCCCACAAAAGTCTGGCGCACGTCGTTTTGTTTGAGATATGCATACTGTTTTAATGGAAGCCAACCAAAAAGGGGCGGAGAGGTTGGTTCCTTTTCTTCTGGCAATCCCGACCAAAAACCCAGCCCGCCCCCCCCCCAAAAAAAAAAAGAAAAAAGAGGAAAAACCACGACACAGCGCGGCAAAAGGCAGCCCCCCCCCCCAAAAAAAAAAAGAGGACGACCCACGACCCACCGCGCGCAAGGCGTGTGAAACGCCGAGGCGCAGGATGCCCTGCTGCCCCCAGGGGCTATTGAAGCGGAGGTACTTCTTGCCCTTCAGCAGCCCGGACTTGTAGGTGTACTCGAAGCACGTCCAGCCTCCATGGCTCCAGATTTGAGAGGTTCGACTCATACCCAGCCTGAAGATCTAGGTCCTCCAGATTTAGAGCTCAGAACAAGTGGGTACCTTCTTTTTCTTCTTCTTCTTCTTCTTCTTCTTCTTCTTTTTCCGGCTTTGTCTGCTTTAGTAGGGGAACCCTCACCCAAAAAAGAAACGGTGAGAAAGGGCACGACTCGGGGTCCTAGTCTATCACACACACACACACACACACCTTTCAGCCCCTCAAACCAGGTACATGAACCAGTTTGGAACTGAACCTGGTGCGAAAACCGGCATAGTCCAAGAGCTGCCCCGGGTTCGGTTGGGCTTCCGGGGCCTCTTGCCCACGTTTCACCCGGTGCCTTGGCACCCCGATTTTGAGGCTGAGGGGTTGCTTCGATGGAAAACAGGGCTATGGAAAATGGAATCCACTGTGATACAACAGAATGGGCTTAAGACGAACAGGGAACAGAGTCCCTTGTAATTATCACAGAAGTGGGGATACACCCCGAGTCAACCACAAGCCTGCTTGAAACATGCGCTTCGGGCGAGGGGAGCGAAAAATGGTCGTGTGAAACACAGGCCGCCCTATGGATTCTCCAAGTACATGCGAGTCCTTTCCAGCCAGCTCACACAACCTGACAGGATTTTTTGGCCCTGCAACAGTTGCGCAACATATTTGCATACAGGCATGCCTCAAACTGAACCTGGTTTGGATGGCTTCAAAGCCCTAAATGCGAGCACCTGAATGGGCCTCTAAATTTGAGAAACACCCATGTCATGCAGTTTACTCAGCTTTTTGTTGTCAGCAACACGCGCAGATCCTCCGCTCACAATATGTTGGAGATGAACCTTCTTGGGTCGTGATCCATGCACCCTTGGAAAGCAGTTGCGATTGCTGAAAACTGAGGACATATGACATCTGCGGACAAACATTGCACCATTTCAGAGTAAAGCCCTTGAAAGGTCATTACACTGCAATGCTTGATCCTTCCAAAACAGGGTCTCCTGTCCAGTGCAAAATGGCGAAGGCCCCAGATATACTCCGGATTCAAATCTAAACCTTGTTATATAATGGTCTGTCAGGGTCTGCTAGGGTGCGCCAATTCGGGCATAATAAGGAACGAGACCCTACAAAAACAAGGAAAGGGAGAACGGCTCTTTTGGCATAGCTGGTTTGCCAGTAAGCGTTGAAACCTTTTGAGACTGCACAAAGTCATACAGGCGCAGGCCACCGAAAATTGTCAACTTGCAAAGGTGAGTTGGGTGTATCAATATCGCTTTGCAGCATACCACGAAGGCATATGTGCAAGCGCAGAACAAGGGTGCCCAAATTCTAAGTCGTTCAAAATGGGAGGAAAGCCTTCATCTTCGCCGGAATCCGTAGTGGGACGCCACTACAAGGGAATCCACTAACCTCGGTTGCTTTCTGCTCCCCTGCTAAAAGTTTGACTTTTAGTGGTTGAATTCGGAAAACCCACTAGCTGGCAAAAGTCAAAGTCCTAACATCCAAGCAAAATGCAGCAAAGCAACGTCTGCATAAGGATCGATTTGTAGAACCCAAATTCAGAGCATCCATTTAAGACATCCGAGCTTGATCCCGCCTGGAGGCAAGCCCTCGGGAGGGTCCACCTCCCGCGGTGCCCTCGATACTGCGCCCTCCTCTCACTGCTGGCAGCCGGTTGGGCTTTTCGGGTGGTAACCAAATTGCTCCTTCTCCCTTTTCAGGTCACTTTCCAAGTTTGATTCTCGAACGAACAGAACCCAAGACAAACGCCATGGTTTTTGCTGAGAAACGGTTGGCTTTTTTAGCATAAGAACAGTAAAACAAGATGATTCTGCCGGAGCCGGCGAGGCCCCTGAGGCCCCACGTAAAGTTCACTGTGAGGCGGTAACACGCTTGCCATCGACCAAGACACTGGGTCGATTGGATGGGGCTGGTAACGCAGAAGTTCTGCTTTGACATTCGCCCTGTGTTAAAACCCCTCCTGGTTTCATGCTGTGCCGTATGCAGCTGTGGTTCCCTAAGTTTCATGTCCAGGGCTCTGACCTTGAGTTATTGTAATTGCTAATTGCATGCCACATCCGGGGTGGGAACAGGACGTCGGCACGGGCCGGACACTGGCTCCTAAAGACCCGGCAATGGCAGGAGAAAAACACTGATGGACCTGGGCGCTAACCAGATGACCCCGCAAAAAAAAGAAACGACGGCAAGGCTCCTAATCAAGTGTCAGAAAGAGAAAACGATGGAGAAAGAAAAAGAAGAGAGAGAGAGAGAGAGAGAGAGAGAGAGAGAGAGAGAAAGAGAGAGAGAGAAAGAGAGAGAGAGAGAGGGAGAGGGAGAGAGAGAGAGAGTAACTTATTTGGCCCTTCTTGGACTTGCTGGTGTACTAATGTGCACGATGTCACAATACGGGTGCGTAGGGTTTAGAGACTTAGAGGGCAATGTGCATGTGGGAATTGTACGCATGCATTTGAACCATGGATTCAACACATCACTACAATACTTGCACACGCAGGTAATCAGCAAAATGTGTTTGTATGAGCAGAACTCGTCAATCTGGGCAAGCCCCCCTACATAAAGCCTGCTTTCGATTCTTAAGCCCATAGCAAACCTTTTTCCCAGTGGATCCAGTTTGCTGTAGAGTAGGTTCTCAAGGGAAGCAGCCTATGGACACTGGTTGGATAGGGGTCCTTACGTTTGCTCTCGATTGAAGGCTTACAAGAATCCACTGGATCGCCATTACCACAGGTAGCCAACACCAGCTACCATAAAATAAGTTCCCTGGAACCTTCAGGGTGATCATGCATGTTCTACAAATGCTATCAGCTATAAAAGTTTCATGGAGCCTTAAGGCTTCTCTCTTTCCTGCAGATGCTCATGAATCCAAAACCCGGCTCCTCCCCAAACGTGGTTGACGTTGGAAGGGGAGCAAGAAATGTTATTTTCTAGCAGTTAAGTGGTTGGATTTCAACCGCTAAGCCACAAGAAGCAACAATGTGTCCAATGCTTCGCAACAACCACGTAAAGACATGAGTTTGTTTAAAGCCCTGGGTGTGTGTTGTCAAAAAAATGGGCAACCCCAAAATGTGTCCATGCAAACCCGGCGCGAACCGGAAGCCGGCGTCCGCTTGCCAGCGGCCGGCGCCCGATTGCCAGCGGCTCCTCGGCTCTGGCGTCCGGCTCCGCGGCTTTTCTGCGGGTCAGCTGAGACAGCAAGGCCTCCAGCACCTCCCTGGGCGCCGCCTGCGGTGGCCGGGTTCTACGCTAGGGGCCTCAAGGCTCCATGGCACCTTTTGTAGGTGTAGCATGTCATAGGGCTAACCTTAAGGTCCGGAACTGTGAGAGTAGCATTTGTAGAACAACTGAAACTTTGCAGTTGTTATAGCATTTGTAGCAAAAGCATTCTAGGACTTGAGTCCAACCATTCTTTTCAACCAGCGTTCTTTTCAAGAACCGGATCCGTTTCCCTGAGTTTCTGAAGGTTTGTTAGAAAGATTCGGATTCCTGGAAAGAATGGGGAAGGTACCCCCTAGATTACTTGCGATCGGCAGTTGCAGGTAACTCACATATGAAAGAATGTCGAGTCTGCCAAGCCGGGCATCAACAACATCTAGCACGTGCCCTCACACTTGGGAAACCATCAATTGAATGAACTCGACCTCCACGCCTTCCTCTTCTTTCCGCACTCGAGGAACACCCTCTTTTCACTTCGGGCCGTATTGCGTTCAATCCTGAAAAGCGTCAACCCCCCCCCCTTTTGGGATTGTTCGAAAGGGACCACCAACAAAACCACATGTTCCTTTCGGGGCTTCGAATACTGAGTCCCTGACCACCCTGGTGTCTGGACTCTGGACTCCAACGGGGTGGGTGTTCTCCTGGCTCGCCTTCCAAGCAACCAACCAGTGCCCCTCACGTCTCACGTTGCGGGGTTCGCGCTGTTCAATGATGATTCACTACTTTGGGATATCCCAAGTCGAAACTTGAGAGATTTATTTGTTCTAGCCACCGATGTGTGTTGCCCATTGAAGCGGATTCGTGCCAGGTGCCATGGCAAGGAGTGCCTTTCTGATGTTCGCATCTTGCCTGCAGCTTCTCTTGCCATCCAATCTCCTCCAGGAGCTGCAGCATGAGCAGGCGGGCGCGCCCCAGCACCAGCTTCCTAGGGCACTCGAAAGGTGCAAAAAAGGGAACCCAATATTCAGTGACTCGCTCGGTATGAATCAAGTCCCTTTTATCAGGGGGGGAACATGTACAATTATTCCTGATTGCAAACGCCGACTGCCAGCAATACTGCTTATTCATATTGGCCAAAAACACACACCAATCCTACAACGTGTCAGTTTGTGTATCGAACCAGGGAGGAGGCATACATTTTTGCTACGGAGGAAGCTCCAGGTCACATCGTTTTTGGTGAGTAACCTCCATTTCCTATCAATAGCTGTGCAAGTGCGGCGATGTCATTCCCTTCGCTACAGTAGAATGGTTTCGGTTCTAGTTTCGGTTCCTTTTTTCAACAACCCTGAAATGGGTGGCCTCAAAAACATACACACCCTCAGACTAACATGGAATCTCCCAGGACCCCTTTGGAAGACTGTCCATGTACAGAGGCCTTTTTGGGGGAGCTTCCAGCTGTTCGTCCGAGGGTGTGTACAAATGACAAGCATGTTGACGGTTGCTCCTACTGCCTGCACCAAAGAACCATGGTTGAAACCATCACGTTTGTTGGTATTTACAGGGGGATCGTATCATACACCAGGGGCTTCTGAACCACCCAAGAAACATGATTAAAACCGTTCTTTGTTGGTTACAGGGGAATCTTATCCTTTCAGGGGTTTCTGAACGGAGGTGGTATCATTCACCAGGGGTTTGTTTTTGTGGTGCGTTTGAAGCCACAAGATTTCGCGCCCATCCACAGCACCCTAGACCCGGGCGTCCTTCCGCTGGGCGCCTCCTCGCCCGCTTCCGCGGGCGTTTGCGCGGACAGGCCATCGCGGCTCCTGAGGTTCCAACGGCTGGGAGTTTGAGTCTCGGTTTAAAGACATGGGTGTGTTTAAACCTGCAACAATCACGTGTGTTTTAAATAAAAAAGAAGCAACCTATAAAAACAAATGTAGCCTTTCCACAGAAATAAGGCTTAAGCCATGGGTGTGGTTGTCAAACAATAGGGTACCCCCAAAATGGGTTGCCCTGGCAAACGGAAACGTGCTAAAACCTGCGGTACCCTGGTGGTTGAGAAAACTCTACGCGGACTTCTTTCACGCCTCAATTTTGCCGGAGGGGGGATTTGAACAGCCCACCTCCGTTTGGGCATGTGAACAACTGCGACATATCTCGGGGTGTCGCCTTGAGATGCTACGCCTGGAATTTCAAGAGGGTCTTGACACATCCCATGTCCCCAGAAGCCACTAGTACGCAAGAGCGATCTTGAGAATATCTCAATATATACATATACATATTATATACATATATATACATATGGATTTGGTTGTAGATGTTTGTTTGTGTGTTTGAGCTTGCGTGGTTGTGTGCCATGGGTGCTTGTGCGTGTGTGTTTGGGTGGTCTTTGTGTGTTGTGTGTATGTGTGGTTGTGTGTTTGTGTGTTTGTGTGGTTGGTTGCTTGTGCATTTGTGTGGTTGTGTTTGTGTGACTGTGCGGCTGTGTGGCTTTGTGTTTGTCTGTTTGCGTGGGTGTTGTTTTTGTGTGCTTGCTTGCTTGCTTGCTTGCCGGTCTGTCTGTCGGTCTGTTCGGCTTCTTGCTGGCTTGCTTGCTTGCTTGCTTGCTTGCTTGCTTGCTCGTTTGAGGTTCCTCAAGCGGAAAGCCACCAGTTGCGGGGTCCGCCAATTTTGACACACACCCACATGTAACGAACGCAGGGCGTGCGTCCCAAGGCTCTGCTGCTTCTGCAGCTGGCGGTCATACTCTTTGCGCCGCAGCTGGTCCGACAAGACTTCAAAGGCGGCCACCACCTTCCTCGCCACCGGGGGGTTGCCCAAAGGATCCTTGTGATACCAAGAAGGGGCCCTACCTTGGTAAGTATCGCAGCAAAGGGACCTAAATCCGGTTTCGCACCTGGGCTTGCCCTGGGCTTGCGCCGATTTTGCTCCAAGGCCGCCAAAGGTGCGGTGATTGAATGGACCCCTGCGGTTTACTCCCCTTTGGATGGCTCCCTTCAGGTGCTGGAGGCCTGAACCAAATTGCCTTTTTAGCGACGCTGCCCGTGTGAATGAAGCCACGACTGCGGGAAAACGACCAAAAGGATTGGGGAAACCTACGCACCCTGTTCGTGGGGGCTGCTTGTTCGTTCCAAGTCACCGCGTGTCACTACACAGGGATCCTTGCATTATACACCTGAACACTGCAACTTGTAAATGGTGGTTTCCCTGTATTTTGGTAGAAAATGCCATGTTTCAAATGGGCAAAATGTATCTTTTAAGGAGCCCTGCAAAAAAAATGGCAAGTCACGAATATCCCAAAATGTGTTCCAAGTCCTCAGTGAACTCCTACATAGCTCTGGGAAATGGGGGATAAGCCAGTTGATGTGCCACCCGTGGGGTGTTTTATGGGGTTTCCTTGCACAGATCCGGGTGGTTTTCCTAAAATCGGGAGTATTCTCCCGGCGGTTTGTTCCCTTCTGCCTGCCGGTAAAACTATCCCAAGCTTTGGTTTGCTAGGTCCTCCAGTAGAGAGGATAGAATAAGGGTACCAACTTCTTCTAGTAGTCTATTTTAGTAGTCTAATAGTCTAAAAAAGGTTGGTGAGAAAGGGCACTTCTGGGGCACCTAGTTGTTTTACTTCAAACAACTATCCAAAGGTAAGGTTCCCTACTAAGGGACCCTCTCCAAACAGCGCCCGACACGTGGTTTGACGGTGTGTTACAAAAACAAATGCCTCATACAGCTCAATTACTGCATTGCTTTATATAGTCAGAAATGATTTCGGCAAATACAGCACGGGCTGTTATTCACAGAAAGCCCGCGCATATGCCGCTGGTTACCCGCATGCCTCGAAGCTAGGCCTTGATCCTATGCGCATCATACTTGCAACACTCCAGGATGGCAAGAAGCACGGATTGCTTGAGACGCTAAGTACAATGTCAGCGCTGAGTCCACAATGTCTGGACTTGCTCACCTCTGCAGGAAACAAGCCGTGCTCCAAACATGTGGTGCAAAGAATAGAGTCAGAAGCCAGGCTGCACAGAGCTGGGATGCAAAATGTCAGGAAACCGGTGGATCATCAGCAGCTAAGCAACAAGCGAGCCGTGGTCATCTGCGCCATATAGCTACGAGGTGCTATTCATGGCATAGGCATCATGTGGAGGGGGCATAAGCGGAAAAGCGACCATGTCCAAGACCATTTTCACCAAGGTACATTCCCCAGTGGACGAGTCCGTGGACCAGGTAATGGCGGCGAAGTCATGCAAAAGCATATTTGCCCATTGCTCAGTGAGAAGCTGGCTATCTAAAGGTTCTCGGATCTGACCCATTTCATTACGATAGGCCTTATCAGCAGGAATTTTGTGCTGAGCCAGCTGATGCAGCAAATTGTCATCTTCTGGGCATTCTTTTCAGCATCGAGGGCAAGGACCACATCCCCCAAAGATCTCTGTCTGTCAGCCAGAGCCCTAGTAGCCGCGCTGTGGGCGGTGCCATCCCCTTGCAAAACCTCCAGACTCCATCCCCTGCACCCTGTCCCAACTGAAATAATCTGCATCCGCGCAAACGGACCCCAGCCCAGTTGACACCCATCCCCCTTGCACCACCTCCAGACTCCATCCCCTTGCACCCCGTCCCAACGCATCCGCGCAAACGGACCCCATCCCAGTTGACACCCATCCCCTTGCACCACCTCCAGACTCCATCCCCTTGCACCCTGTCCCAACTGAAATAATCTGCATCTGCGCAAACGGACCCCAGCCCAGTTGACACCCTTTTTCTGTAGTCTATTTAGAAGGGGAACCCTCCCCCAAAAAAGTTGGTCAAAGGGCACTAGTGGGCGACCCAGACATCGATCCGAGGTACTTGAACTCCTCGGGGTTGCCGCCCTTGTCCGGATGCGTCAGCAGCGCCCCCCGCCGGTAGGCGCTCCGGATCTCCGCGCCGCTCGCGGAGCGCGAGACCTGGAGGAGGTCGTAGTGGCCGTCGCCGGCGGGGCCTGGCTCGGAGCTTCCGGCGGTCCAGGGCGCTTTGTTTGGCCTTGGGGCGACTGAGGCCCATGGCGACCAAGAAGGCGACTAGGATGGCGCCAATAGTGCCAATGGTGCCTTCAGCTTGGGGCGACTAAGGCCGATCTTTGGTGCCTTTTGGCCCAGGAGGGGCCGATTCCCCAATGCTAATGGAGGGCGACTACTAAGGCCTATTTGGAGCCTTTTTTCTGGGGGGGGTCTTTTGTTTGGGGGGCCCCTGACAAACATTGGAAGAATCTTCATAGCATCCCAGCCCTTCCTTTCCAAAGATGGCTTGACCCTAAGGGTCTTTGCGGATCCCATGAGCAGCCAGGACATTCTCACAAAGACCCATGACGTGTAAGCCAGTCCGCAAAGTACAATGGAACCCCAGCCATGCTTTCAAAAAGAAACTCCTTTTGGGGGACCCCTTGTTTCAATTTGCGGGGGAGTAACAGCATCCAACGGAAACTCGCCACAGCCGAAGGGAAAGCATGGTCATTCGCCAACCCCACATTGAGGCCTTCGTATGAAAGCAACATGTATAACAGGTGTCTACATGTATATTAGTCGTATTGGGCATAGAACGGGTACGTGTCCGGAGAGTGCCTACTCCATGCACGCGGCGTCCAAGGAGACTGGGATCTATGGGTCTGTCCTTCTGGGACGGGTCATCAAATCAAACCAAGGGCTTGGCGCTGACGCTTTCTCTGAGTGCTCAAAAAACCGGAATTCCAACATGGCTTGCCCTGATAAATGGAACCCTTATGACATTCAAACCTGCGGTCCATATCCTGGTGGGTTTATTTTGACCCATGCCCATATGAGTGTGTTGTTTTTGGGGAGCCCCCTGTTGGCTGTCAAGGCAAAGGGACACCAACCATGTTAGGAGGAAAGTATGGTCATTGTGAAATTGCAAAACGACCTCACGGGCAATGTGTGTTGCCCAAAAGTGGGAAGTTCGGGTCGTGCCCCCCGAATCCTCCCCAAACCCTAGCGGACTACCAAACAATGTGTGTGGGCCTAAAGAATCACACACGCCCTGGTGTTTGAAGACCAAAAAGGCGACCAAAAAAAGGGACACCTGCTCCAAATCAACATCAATTTCCTGGAAAGCCATCCTCTTCAGAAGAAACTTTTGGGGGGACCCAGCTGAATTTGCGCAGGGGATGCCTCATCTTCCCCTTCTTTTTCTAGGTCCTCCAGCAGAGAGGTTAGAAGAACTTGGTACCAACTTTTCTCAGGACGTCTATTTTAGCAGGGTTCCCACCCTCCCTCCAACAAAGTTGGGTGAGAAAGGGCACCTAGCTGGGGGACATAGGTTCTCAAGCAAATCAAGCAAACGCCAAGCGCATCTAAAACTTCAAAGATGGAATTCTGCATGTACAGGCGCATATCATACATATACGGAACATATTATACACGTGCGTGCTTTTTTGCGGTGTTTTGGTCCGTCCTGGCTCGTCCTCCCTGGGCCGCTTGCGGCTGTTCTTGGCCCAGGCCAGGGCGTCCGTCATCGCCACGGCCCAGGGGTGCCTCGAAAGGCCACGGAACCCAATGTGGGAACCCAAAGGCCTTGATGGGGGGGGAAGTTTGGGGGCAAGTTGGAGGGGCTTTGGGGTTGGGGAGGTTGGGGGGGTTGGGGGGGGGGGGGTTGGGGAAGTTTGGGGGGTTGGGGGGGGGTTGGGGAAGTTGGGGGGGGGGATGGGGGGTTTGGGGGGGGAGAATCAGCGAGTGGACAAGTCTTGGCGGGAATTGCCCAAATTACGCAGAGACTACGGATACTTTTATTGCGCCTCACATCCTGACGTCTTCTTGTGCCGTTTCTCCAGAATGAAAAAATGACTCATCCCTTGTAGTTCCCTTAAATAGGGATCACTCGGTTCAGTTGCAAGAGCCACGTGACTGCCCAGTAACGTAGAGGTGTATCAATCTATCCTCTCTTAGTGTGCATACGGCCATGTCCTTCAAAGCAGCCCCCCTGAATAATGACGCAAGAAGAGCGAGAAGCAAGCAATGTGGAAATGGTCAATAGTAGCCAAATCATGGTTGAATCCAAAATAAAACCAACCACAAGTAGACCAAACATGGTTCCAACAGAAGGGACACCTCCCAAACGTAGACCAAACATGGTTCCAACCAAGAGGAACGCACAAAAAGCATGCTTCAGACCAAAGGGACACCTCACAGAAGTAGACAAGACGCAGTTCAATCCGCAGGGACGCCTCACACAGGCGCACCGAAGACATAGTTCAAGCCAAACGAATACATCACACAAGTAGACCGAACATGGTTTGCAACAGAAGGGACACCTCACAAACGTAGACCAAACATGGTTCCAACCAAGAAGTAGCAGCTTAGATGCAAAAGCACATCAAGTATCTGTTAAACCCAAGGGACGCCTCACAAAGCAAACCAAACATGCTTCAAGTTTAAACCAAAAGGAAACCAAGAAGCTGAGAAGACCCAACATGGCTCGCAGCCAGGGGACACCTCGCAAAAGATCAATGGCTCAAACCAAGTCCGAGGTGCTCATCCTCCGGCAGGGCCAATGGTTTAGGCGCACATGTCATCGCCCCGTCCAGAGGATCCATCCCTTGAAAATGCACAAGACGGGCCAAGGGCCTGGTGATGCTGGTCCCCATGCCTATCAGGAAAGCCTGATTATGAAAACGAGAAACTTTGACCAAGTCGCCAAGTTTGAGGAAGGGATTGAGTCGATATCTCAAAACCCAGGATCCAGAGGGTTTTTTGCCGCACCTTGCCACGGTCGGGTTCTTGCTCGATTGGTTTCAACTCAACTGGATCCTCTGGAGGGGCTCCGTACGATGCCGAAGGGCCCAGACTGATGCAGGGCCAAAGGCTGCACGGAAGGGCGACGTCCAGTGGTTCCCCATGGAAAAAGAGGGGCTGGGCCAATTTGGTCAGTGGATTTGAAGGGAAACTCACAAGAAAGGAAGCGGCGGAGCCCAGTTGGCAGCACTTGTGGTTGGCTCGAGCAAGAGCAGCACTTGGCCATCGCAGTGTTTCTAGGATCTGGGCTGCCCTCAGATCCCCCGGTAAAAGCTCAACTTTTACCTTTTAGTGGGTTAACTGGATAGCACTAAACACTAAAAAGATCTAAAAGGCTAAGGACCCGGATGGCTGGGAGCAAGGGATGCAAGCTGGGTGCAGGCTGAGGGTTCCGAGCTGCGAAGCCGCGAGGACCACTCGGGCCAAGCAGTGAGCTTCAAGCTCGCTGAACCCGAAACCAGCGAGTGCGTGAGTCCGTCCGTCTGTCAACGTGTGCATGCGCGCGGCTGCGTGTGTGCGTGAGAGAGAGAGAGAGAGAGCAGAAATGAGAGAGAAAATCAGGCTGAGCGTTTTGGCACGGCGCTTGGGTCAGCGCACCGAGCTAACAGAAAATGTATTAGGAGGCACGCGATTTGTCTAGTCTGGTTGTCTGAAAAGACTACCTTGATGTGTCTGTTGGCAGTTGTCTGAAATTCCTTGTTCCCGGCAATGCCATCCTCACGGGGGTAAAAACAACGTTCACAACATTGGCGCACGAAGTACACTTCCGCAGTCCGCAACTTTTCAGATGCAGAGTAGTACACTTCCGCAGCGGCAACTCGCGGAAGCACAGGAGGGGACCCGTGGGCCACCCATGTTCCGATTCAGGCGGGGAGATTATCGACTTTCGCGAAACATTGCGTATCTTGCACCAAGCATTAAAGATCCTGCTGGGAGGTTGCATTCAACTGGACACGCTTTCTTCATCGTTCCATATTCCTTTTAGAAAAACACTCCTACACAAAACTTTCACGGCAACAAAAGAGTAACTTTCGCGACCTCCATCGCGAAGCTTTCGCGGCAACACCAAGACAAAAAGGTGAATCCCTTGTCCAAATGGCTGTGGCTCAAAAAAGTGGTGCCAAAATGGCACCTTGGTACGTGGAACCAAAGACCAAAACCGATTGGCCCCAGCTCTTTAATTTTGAGCCATACCCAAATCACAGAGGGACCTTCTCTGAAGCACCCTCTGTCTGGGCCCGTCCCCAACTCGGCGTGGTAGCCAAACCCGGGGGCATGACAGTTCCCAGATGCGCAGTTGGGAGCACCATGTACGCGAAACCTTGGCACATGGGCGTTAAAGAGGTACCTTCCAATCCCATTCTTTCCAGGGATCCGGATCTTTCCAGAATATTTACGGACACCCAGGGAAAATGGATCCGGTTCTTGAAAAGAAGGATGGTTGAAAAGAATGGAAAAGGAATCAACCCCTAGAAAACTGCTATATGGCTGTGGGTCAAAATCCCGTACCCCCAGTGAACATCCCAATCCCCACTAAAATAGACTAAAATGGGTGGTGCATCCACCCCAAAATGGGGTCCCATGTGTTTGACCCACAGCCATATGTGTTGGAACAAGCACGTCAGATTCAGCAGGTGTTTTTCGCCCGGGTCCTTGCTGCACGTCCACCTGCCGAAAGGGCCGATGTCCCGTGAATTGCGCCCGAATCAGCAAAGGATCGGAGTTGGGGGGTGGGGGTTGGGGGTGGGGTTGGGGGTTGGGGGTGGTTGGGGGTTGGGGGTGGTTGGGGGTTGGGGGTGGTTGGGAGTTGGGGGTTGGGCGTGGTTGGTGGTTGGTGGTTGGTGGTTGGTGGTTGGTGGTTGGTGGTTGGTGGTTGGTGGTTGGGGGGTTGGGGGTTGGGGGTTGGGGGTTGGGGGTTGGGGGTTGGGGGTTGGGGGTTGGGGGTTGGGGGTTGGGGGTTGGGGGTTGGGGGTTGGGGGTTGGGGGTTGGGGGTTGTGGGTTGGGGGTTGGGGGTTGGGGGTTGGGGGTTGGGGGTTGGGGGTTGGGGGTTGGGGGTTGGGGGTTGGGGGTTGGGGGTTGGGGGTTGGGGGTGGGGGGTTGGGGGTTGGGGGTTGGGGGTTGGGGGTTGGGGGTTGGGGGTTGGGGGTTGGGGGTTGGGGGTTGGGGGTTGGGGGTTGGGGGTTGGGGGTTGGGGGTTGGGGGTTGGGGGTTGGGGGTTGGGGGTTGGGGGTTGGGGGTTGGGGGTTGGGGGGTTCAGGAGGCATCTAAGTTAACCTGCAAGTTGATGAGTTTGGTGGGGAAACGGTCATGTTTCAAGCTCCAGAAAGTTGCGCAGACTAGTATATACAATCCTCAGACCTCGCTTGCTCGTGCGACAGAAACATTGGCGTGGTCAAACATGTAATTCAGGTGTCAAAGCATGCTCCTTTTAGAGGTGGAAGTAAGTCTGTGGCTTTGACAGAGAACATCAGTTGAATGGCATGTGTGCAGACATTGCCACACCTATTTCTTGGTTTGCGGGGAATTAAATAGCGCTTTGCTGGATTGAAACGCATGATCCAAAAGCCGTTCGATTCCCTGGATTGGCCAGCTCCATGGGGAGGAATACTCACTTCAGTCATTATCTAGGTCCTCCAGTAGAGAGGCTAGAATAAGAGTACCAACTATATTTTCTGTAGTCTATTTTAGTAGGGGAACCCTTCCCAAAAAAGGGTAAAAGGGAGCTACTGGGGGACCTAGTCACTTGAGTCATTACCAGAAACCAGATATGTTTCCGAGCTGTCCTCAGATCCCCCGCGAAAAGTGACGAACTTTTAGTGGCCCAAATTCGGAATCTACCAACACCACAAGGCTCAAAAGCCAAGGAACCGGATGGCCGGGAGCCCGCAAGAGATCCACCGAAAGAGCGGAGCCCAGATTCTGGGCTCAAGGATCCCTTCCTCCAGGCCCGTGGTCACCCAAGACATCCTTCGGCCCAACGTTGGGGCGAGAAAACGATCGCGGCGTGGCGGAAAAAAAAGGCGAGCTGCTTGGATTGAACCATTTTTTTTGAAAGAAATTGGTGGTACTCGGAGATCTCTTTATTTCCCCGGTGCAAACAAAGTCCGTCCCACAACTCAGTTGTTCAGTGACCCTGGAAAAGAAAGGGAACCCTTTTTGGGGAAGTCCACTTTTAGTGGAGCGGCGAAAGAATTGGTGCCACTGAACAACTGAGACAAACCTTTAACCCTCTCAGACGGATCCGAGGGTTTGTGGGCACCTCCTGGTCGGAAACCAAGGGAACCGCAGCTTCGTGCGCGCGCGCGTTTCAGGACATTTCAAACACGCGCGTCCATGCGCGAGTCCCTGACTGGTAGGTGTCGACTGGTAACGCCCCAGACCCTCCAAAAGCGAGTCTTGCGAATTGATTTTCTTCCGATCCGATCCTCGGCAGCGGTGGCGGCAGCTTCCCTGGCACAAAGCAGGCGGAATGCAGGCGCATCCAAAAATGAACCCATGAGCCTCCGCTCCATAAGACTTGCCAGAACCCAAAGGTCCGCAAGCAAGGGGCATGGTGGGCTTCTAGCAAGTCTTTTTCTCAGGTCCAAGAATGTGACCTCGCTCCTGGCGTGCCTCTCTTTTCTGGGCCCGTTTTCTGATCCGCGAAGAGTGACGAACTTGGGCTCAATTCGGAAACTACCACTAAACACTAAAAGGCAAAAAAGCGAAGGAACCGGATGACTGGGAGACACCAAGTTTTGTGCTGATTCTTCGAACTGAGTGCTGCACACGTCTTTGTAGGTCACGTTCTCCAATTCATCGTCCATCAGGGTGCGGACGGAGCTGGTCTCAAGCAAAGCGCCAGTCTGTTTTCAGTGATCTGGTCTTCAAATGCAGCAATGTACTGACAAAGCTCAACGGCCAATGACAAAGCCAGCCGGAAAACAAACGTGCTTTGTTAATCCATCGAATCATTCGTCCCCCACCACGCCCGTCAGGCACATAGATCAGGCTGTATCGAAATGGACACGAGCATCAGTAAACTCCTCGAGGTCAGGTTGATCAATTGACGGAGTGGTTCAATTCGTGGCTCGATGATGCAGCCAAGGTTGGCCTTGGTTAGTAGCCTTGGGTCCCTCAGTGCTTCATGTGCAGAGTAACTCCCATTCGTAGAGAGCATTGAACAAAAGACAGTTTCAAACACCGGCTGTCGGAAATTCCGAAGAACCCAAGACAGCAGCTGCCCATGCACTTCTTCAATCTCGAATGAACCAAACGTAGGATGCCCAGCAAGGCTCTTTCCACTCGGGATCCCAATGTGGCTGGGCGAAAAAAGAAAGCGAAGATGTGGCGTGGGTATGATCTAGGCTATATATTCTGAGATTCCTGTTGCTAGGACAAACAACAGGGAAGCCACTGTGGGTTCCATTGGGAGGACATTGAATCGGTCCGACCCTCTTGAGGTCTGGTGAACCGTGAGTTGATGGGCAAGAACAGGCCCAGGCGGCCCCCGTTAAAACACCGGTCAACAAAAACAACCTACTTTTTAGTCACTCAACTGGCACATGACATACAAATACACGCCAGGATCAGAAAACAACATCGGGACCAAGGCTGAAAAAGAACGCTCCAGCCTCTTTCCCTCGACCAGAGGAAACGGTCAACAGCTCTGGCAATTGGGCGCGCCACGGTGCAGTGCCAAATCTGAGGGTCCTCGCGGATCTGAAGCGAGAGATCAAATGGGAAAAATATGCGGGTTGATCAAACGCTCCTGCATGGGATGACCCTTGGGGGAAAAAAGAAAAGAAAAAACAAAAAAAACGCGAAGAAGATGAGACATG